CCTTTTCATTTTTTTCACTTTTTTTTGAGAACCTCTTATTCTTTCTACACAGTGAAATAGCTGCCGGGTTTCTGCCGGATGGCAGCCGGGAAGAATGGCTCTGCCGGCTGGCGGCCGGGATCATGCCGGTTTTTTGCCGGATTTTTGCCGGGACCTCTGGCAGAATCCCGGCTGCCGGCTACTCGACCTGGCAAAAAGCCGGCGGCCGCGTCCTTGCCGGCTCGCTGCCGGGTCTGCCGGAATCCTGCCGGCTTTCTGCCGGCTGCCGGGATACTGCCAGATTCTTGCCGGTGTAAACATGTATTTATTCGTAGCCCTACCATAACTTTTGAATTTTTCGGTTTCGCTGCGTTTTCTTTGCGCTTTCAGTTTCTTCTGTCATAAATTTATATTTTTACAGTTCTTTAACAAGAGGTAAGTAAACAGCTTATGAAAACGTTTGCTGTTTTTAGAACGCAGCCTGTGAATTGGTACTAGAGGGGTTTTTTTATTTGATATATGGCAACACTTTGATTTCTTGCCAAGTTAACGGAAGTTTTCAGATGATGTTTTATTCCGTTTCGATATCTACCGCCGTCTTTCTGGGTTCAATGTGCCAGTATGGCAAGTTAAAAGGAACTGCAGACGAGCGAGGTATTTCAGTTTCATTAGTCATTTAGGAGGTTTTGAGCTATAATGAACCAGCCCACACGCTGACGAATGCTTCGCTAATGTGACGAAGTAGCGTCAGGTAACAAAAGAAGTTTAGTAAAATCTAACCTTTGTTTCTAGATAAATTAAGAGTAAAAAACCTGCGCCTGCTTCTGATTTAGCTTCCTTGATTCAAGCACCTTGGTTCAAAAATTATGTTTACTTTTCAGTTAAGTTTCATGGGTTTAAAAACTCATTAACGCTGGTAAAGGTTAAAGTTAACATTAAAGTTTACATTTAGATTGTTGCCGCGAACGTCTACCGCCAACTCTCATGCCTCGGAAAGTAAGTGATAAACGAAATTAAAGACAAATGAAAGCACTAGTATATTGGCACAAGATTACAGGCGTCACCTACGTTGCAATCGCGAAGCGGAAGCGGAAGCATTATATTGGCAGAAGCACGGCAAATGGCCGGCGAATAACTGGCAGGATCCAGGCAAAACCCCGGCAAGAAGCCAGTCCGGAGGACCCGGCATGTGCCGGCAGAAACCCGGCTGCCGGCTTTTCGCCGGATGGCAGCCGGGTTTCTGCCAGATGGCAGCCGGCGGCTGCCACCCGGCAAGAAACCGGCCGTTTCCCGGCTGCCACCCGGCAGGATCCCGGCATCCATGTCTCTGTGTAGCCTTTCATTTGCCTTCTCTATTGTATTTATTTGATTACATATTCTCTTGTTTCCTTTTCGTAGATCCTTACTTTCTACATACTATTCTTTTCCAGACTCGTCAAACTCGCAAGCAATGGCCCGTACGAAGCAGACCGCCCGCAAGTCCACCGGAGGAAAGGCCCCTCGCAAGCAGCTCGCCACCAAGGTAAAAGCATTTCCTGATTATTTTAATCCATTTTTCGCTGATTTCATTACTTATCCTTTCTTTTTCAGGCCGCCCGCAAGTCTGCCCCATCCACCGGAGGCGTCAAGAAGCCGCACAGATACCGCCCGGGAACCGTCGCTCTCCGCGAGATCCGCCGTTACCAAAAGTCCACGGAGCTCCTCATCCGCAAGCTGCCCTTCCAGCGTCTGGTGAGTTTCTGTTGATTTTTAAAGGTTTTGTGCGCATTAGTTTTCATTTTGAGCGACTTTTAGTTAGTTTTGTGTAGTTTACTGGTTTATCACTAAAATTTGATGGAAAATGAGTTTTCCTTTAGTATTTAAATGAGGCCAAACTATTTTCCGTTTCGTTTTTGCCAAATCTCAGCGTCTGTTTCACTTCTTGAGATACTACAATTGGGTTTTGCTTAGAAAGAGTTTGATTTAGTTTTTATAGCGGATTTTCACTAGAATTTTAGTTTGGAACTTACTAGGGATTGATTTTTATTTACATTATATCGTTTCTTAAACTGTTTTTTCAGGTGCGTGAGATCGCTCAGGACTTCAAGACCGATCTGCGCTTCCAATCGGCCGCCATCGGTGCCCTGCAGGAGGCTTCGGAGGCCTACTTGGTCGGACTTTTCGAGGTAAATTTTTAGTTTTAGATTGTAATTCTTTCAACGATTACCGATTATTTCTTTTCCTAACTTCCATTTTTCAGGACACCAACCTCTGCGCCATCCACGCCAAACGCGTCACCATCATGCCGAAGGACATCCAGCTGGCCCGCCGGATCCGCGGAGAGCGCGCCTAAGCGACCGAAGACTGCGCTCACAAACTGTATTTGCTTTTAATCATTAAACCCCCGTCACCTCATTCCGTTTTTTAAATTCGCCACCCACCTTTGAATTATTCACCGAAACGGCTCCCCTTTTTTAATGTTGTCACCTTTCTATTTTCAACCATCCCCTATCCGCTGGCCAACCTCGAACAACGCCAAAAGGTTGTATTAATGTGTACATTTCTCTGCGCCTAGGGCAATAAATTTCATGAAAACAACAAGTTTATACAACTATCGCATTATATGGGAATACAAATACATTTTATGGATATGCAGAAAATGCAAGATACTGATAGTTTTCGTTGAGCTCTGCGGGTTTGACATTTAGAACGATGCATATTCTTGAAGCATGAGGATATTTTTTACAATCACAGCAATAAAGTCCGAGCTATAGTAATCCATAGAAGTATTGGTTTTGAGACTTACTGTAAAGTGTTTTTACTCAACTTGGAGTTTCGATTCGGGACCAAGTGCATCTTGTACAGAATTTTTCGCTGATTCCGAATATGTTTTCCAAATTTGCTACGGACCGTTATTCTCAAGGTTATACAGTAATTATGATCCTAGTTTTCACCAAAATGACGGTATCGTTATAGTTTTCGATTTTCTTCATTAATTTCAACGTCAAAATTGACTAGGCGTTGGCTCGACAAGCATCCTACAGCTCAAAACAAGCATTTTAGATAAAAAATGAGATTTTTATGCAAAAAGCAAAAGAAATGATTAGATGCAGAGCGGGGGTTCGAACCACCGCCCTGCGCTTGGCAAGCGAGTACTTTGCCAATGCACCATGTTGCCAACTGGGTAGGGGGGGCTGTCAGAGGGTACTTCAGGGCCCCTGGGAACCATAGCCCCAAACAAGGAATAGTGGGCCAGCGTCTGAATTTTTGGCATTTTTCGGCCTAATTGTTACCAAAAATGATTTTTTAAATAAAAGTTCGTAGCAAATTTGGAAAACATATTCGGAATCAGCGAAAAATTCTGCACAAGATGCGCTTGGTCCCGAATCGAAACTCCAAGTTGAGTAAAAACACTTCACAGTTAGATTTGTCGGGTCGTTAAAAGCATTGTAGAATTATGAAAATTGCGCAACAAGAAATTGAGACGAATAACGTATAAGTGTTTCGAAGACCTAGAAGGCATTGCATGTAGAAGACGCAATATAACGAGTTCCACGGATCGGACGTAGAAGCGTCTCCTCAATGTGAAGACGTGTAGGCTAAATAATCGTTTTAGAAGGTTTCGCATTAATATTTCATTTAGAACGTCTGGTTTTTCCGCAATTTTTGCCAAATGGCAGGCTTGGAAGGTATTTACGGGTTAATAAACGCTCAGCTTCTACATCCAACTTGCTAAAAATCGTGGCGAATGTAGCGGAAAGAAGCGAAAAACCCTAGGAAAACTGATAAAGCGGCCCGTTAAAGCTATTCAGAAACATCGGCTAAAATTGTTGTGATAAATTTGGATCATTTCGCAATAAAATTTGGCTTTTCCAAGGTTCCTAACACTAAAGGGTAAACTAAAGGCTAAAAAGTAAATTCGTAAGAAAGCCAGGCATAAATTTTGCAAAATTTTCGCCTTTTTGCAAATTTCAAAACGTGTACAGGGTACGATTCTGCTCGGGAAGAAACCTGCCTACCTAAAAGGCAGTCCATAAGCCTCTGATCAGCTTCAGGGGACAGGTTGCCGAGCCACCCCGCGCACCAGGCCATCAGCTGCTGGGGGTCGTGTTGAAGCCCTGGTGGGGCCAAAAATCGAAGCTTTTGTATGAGCTCCTGCACAAAGATTTGCTGAGGCCGAATCTGCAGTTGAGGTTGTTGTAGTGGCAGTCCTGCATAGCCGCCTTGAGCAAGCATCTGGAGTGGCTGTTGCACCTGCTGCGCGACTGGTTGAGGGACGACGTTGTTAGCAGGCGGCGCAGGTAGTTGCTGGACTTGATGAGCTTGTACAGCAATTTGGGCAGGCATCGGAGGGTGTACGCAATCGTCCGACTCGTCGTCGTCCTCCAGCCCGTTGACCCGTGGTGAGGGGTGGACGGCTGGGTCCCGGGCTTCTAAAATCGGAGATGAGATAATTCTTGGTTGGCTAACGTTTGCCTTCATAATACGTAAAATGCAGGTAAAATGTAGTGGAAATTACATTTTTTGAGGAAAAAACTTACGAGGACCCGGACGTTGCCTCACTGACGTCCCGGCCGATATGTCCTAAATGGTAATCAATTGAAACTGTTATGTATGTTGTTATTCCATGTATTAAAAACTAGTATCTTCGAAGAAGGCGTATTGAATTCGGCACTAGCCTAACAAGGCTCATAAATTTTCTTAACAAAATTCATACAAAAAAACACGCGCTACCTCTGGCGGACCGGGGCCAAGTGGTGGGTATGTTAGTCGAGTGTTTGTACTCATGTCGACGGTCTAAACGAAAATGTTATAAATACTTGCATATTATTGGCTACTACTACATACATGCAGGTGCCCTACTGAAAAAAACACCCACCTCTAACTCGACCCCGAAGTAGAGGATCGGAGTGATAGTTACACCATTCGAAAGCCCTTGAAACGGCGAGTTTGCATCAGTTTTGTAAACCATGTTTTTAATTGAGCCCGCTATTTTACGGCACTTAGTAAAGCCCGAGCTGGGGGAGCCCAGGGAGCCGAAGACATTTTGCAGTGTGAGCTCAGAAACGCCTTAAATGATATTAAATCTGGCAGTAAGATACTAAGAATAGTTAAAAATTAAGGTTAATGATACTTTAATATACCTCACGAAGCCCCCGGCTTCCTGGGCTCCCTCAGCTCGAGCCTTACTAAATGTCCTATTTTACAAGACATTTTGTACAATTTTCCGGATTTTTGGGCTTACATACGGGCCAATTTGCCTCAATTTCTCCAGCCAAAATGCCCGGAAGTAGCCGTTAATTAGATGCAGAGGCTGTTCCTTAGTGTTTATCAATGCGTTGTAAAATGGTGCGTTTAAATAAAACATTATTTTCAAAACTGTTGCAAATTCGCCATTTCAAGGGCTTTCAAGGTAAATCGTTCCGATCCGATACTTCGGGGTCGAGTTAGAGGGGGAGTGTTTTTTATCGGACACGCTGTATCCTAATGACACAATACTAACCTCAGACTGCGCCTGTACTCCCATCGATTGCATCATGACGGGCTAAAATGAAGCGTGTGAAAAAAAGAAAACTTAGGCGATTAGTACCTACAATTAGTTAGCTTAAATTATGAATAAATTAAACTACTTATGTACTGCGGTATCCAAAACCAAGAATTAATAAGCCGTCATCTTAAAAAGGATCCGAAACCCACCTGAACTGCTGTCACCGCCCCTTCAGCCCCCTGTTTCTGAGCATCGATCTCAGCTCGTACGTCTTCGCTTCGAAGTCCAGGCTCGTCCGCTTCCATCACATCCACATCAACTATCGATGCTCGGTCTGGCTGTGCGGGGCTTGCGACCTCATCCCTCGTCTTCACAGTGACCACGCTCGTGCTCGATTGTGAACTCATGGGATTTTGATCGTCAACCGCAGCTAGTCGACTTGGCATCGGCACCAAAACCAAGGGTCGAGGTGGCAGAGGTGGTGTGGCCGGTTCCTTGTAATTGATCTCTTTAGATGGCCGGAGTCCCTCCCTCGACTGCCTTCGGCGGATCAAGTCCTGAATCGGCTTCGGTCTGGGCTTCGTCTTCTTCTTCGGGCTGACCGTCGCGGAGTTGTCGGAAAAGCGAAGTAGCTCGGCGGGGATTCTGAGCAGAATTTTTTCAGGGGTTTTTTCTGACGTGCCGCTGGATTCTGCCGGACTAATCGCCACATCGGCTTCTCCATGGGTTTCAGAAGATCCTCTGCCCTTGCCGAAGTCGTGTGCCGCATCTTGATGCGCCTCCTGACGTGGCCCAGTTTGCCCTGCGTTTTCTCCTTGCTGTCCCTCTCCATCATCGTCTTTATCACAGTGAGCACCTTCATCGTCTCCATCCGGATTTTCCTCTTCCCATCCGACGCCATCTTCAAGCTGTTCAGCCTCGTCCGCCATGTCCGCCGATCCTGTCGAGCCAGACAGGCTCGGAGAAGTAGACTCTCCCTCCAGGGTCAGGCTATCGACGCTTGGTTTTCGGAGCCCAACAGCTTCAACAAGTTCAAGGTCGGGCGGCCGGTAACTACGAGCTTGTTGTAGATTGGTCTCGACGTTCAGCTCACGCTGCTGTCCTTGACTAGCTCCAAAAAGCTCGTCATCTGTAGATGGGCGTCCACGGCGCTTGGAACATCCTGGCATTGCTTGGCCTTTTACTCCTTGAACGCCCCCAGTTCGGTTTCCTGCTTCTTCAGCAAGTTCAGAGGCAAGTCGTGCTCTTTTTGATTGCGAGCCAGCAACGTCGTCACCTTGAGCTTGTTGTTGACGACGAGTACCTCGCCGTGTCGTCTGAACATGAACAATGGGTTGAGCTTCTACCGATTGGCGCGAAGTGCTGGGACCTGTATCCCGACCTGACCTTCTCGCCGGCGTGGTTCCAACGCTCTGCCCTCGTTGAACATTTTGAGCTGCTCGCGCCCCTTTGATCACTTGAGAGGCAGATCTCGCGCCCAGGATCGTCTTGCTCTGTCGTCGACGCTCACGTCGCGCTTCACGTTGCTGGTTTTTCCGTTTGATGTCTTTATCAGCAGCAATGGCGGCTTGGCGCGCCTTCTCCTCGGCTGCGCATTTGATTTTCTCCAAATTCAGCTTGACTTGCCGCTCCTGTTCAAGTCGTTCGTCCTTTTGCTGCTCTTCGCGGAATCGTGCGGCTTGGCATTGCTCCGAGGTAGACTTGCGGCGTTGCTCGAGGCGCACCTCCTCGATTTCGGCTTCAATTCTGATCCTACGTTGCGCAGGTGTCTCGCCGGGATGTTCATCAACATCTTGGCGTGCGGCTTCGGCGACATCAGGCGCAGTGCGTTCGGCAACGAATTCAAGCCGCGCAGGAGTAGA